ATATATATATATATATATATATATATATATATATGTATGTATCAATCACAATATTATTAAAAAATATTTTTAATTCCGTTTCCTCCCCCCTCCCTCTCCCTTTTTCTTTTCTTTACAAATTATCTTATCTCGTGGTATTGAATTTCAACATACAGACTCTTACTCATATAAGTTATAATTGCTTCTTAAATTAAGAAATTCATCATAATAACTTTAATATTTATACGTGGAGGCAATTTTCATTAAATTTAACAAGTTATATAATTTAATAACGTATAGGTTATATTAACTAGCGAACCAGTAAGGCAGCCTCATAATTTTTATATGGATTTAGCTAATCGCTTTTATTTATATATAAAATATTAATAGCCAATATTATTGGCTAATTCTGACTTTCGTTTGGAGCTTTTGAATTTTCTTACACGGGCCGTCTATTTAATGTCTTTAAATGACTGCACATTGCACTAATAATAATTGTCTCGTGCGAAAGTACGAAAGAAACTTCTCCTCGCAAGTACAAGGCACTCGATACTCGATAGTACATTATTTCAATAATATTATTATAATGCCAATATATTAAGTTTCGAATATTATTGTCATCGTAAAGATTTTATACGCATCCTACGATAAAATGAAAGCCTAATCGCCCTTACCTACCAGCATTCCTACAATTGGTCGTACATTCCTCTTATACTCTTTTATCCGTAGTAGCCCTGATATGCTATAAAATGTAATTTTAACGAAACTTGATAATTTTCTTTGTTTTTTGTTTTTTTGTGTTTCATTTTGTTTTGGTATTTGTGTTTGTTAAAGAAGATTCGCAGGTTATGGGCGCCACAGGTGCCTATGGCATCGAGGGCAACGAGGTACGTCGCGTCGCTACGGGCAGTGCGCGTGACACGCAGACAGCCAAAAATGGAAAATCTAACAAGTACTGGGAAGCGCGTTGGAGGCCACCGCGAGCGCAGATCGAAATGGAGTATCTCGTATCTTCGTATTCCAGCAGCTGCAAAAATGCCGTGGGGAGTGTAGGAAGGAATGGCCGATGCGCCTCGTTGCAGGCCGCGTGCGCGGTAATGTCAACCGCGGGGCGAGCGCGCACGTGGGAGAACAAGGCGTCGAAGAATGCGTAATTGTTTTGAAACGGTTTCCCCTGCCTTTCGCGGTCGCACCGGTGCGCACGTCCGCGAGCTTCGCCGTTTTACGCGTGGGATGCGTGAAAGGCGGCCTCGGTGGCGGTATATACGGGCATAAAGCGCGGGGGCAGGTTTCGTTCTTCCGTTTGGCTTTTCATTACGCGACTCGCTTGCCAAATAATTCTCGCTTTTTCCATTGTGAAAATTCTGGCGCCTTATGCCGCATACAACGTGCGCGCAACGGCCAAACACAGCCTTTCGCGCGTACTCGTTGCTATCGTGGTACGGAGTCCGTACGACGAACGCATTATTGGCGAATGTATTACCGAAAAGCCCCTCAATGTTTTTATTATCCTTTGCAAATCCTTTATTTATTTATATATTTTTGTCTTTGTTTTTGTTTTTGTTTTTGTTGTTGTTGTTGTTTTGTTGTTATTGTTTTTTTTTTTGTTGTTTATTTTATTTTTGTTTTTTTTTTTGCCATTTGTCGTGGCTTTCTCATTTCGGTGCTGTCCTACGTCACCCTACCCCCCTGTTGCTACCAATAGTGGCGCGCGTGGGACTTTGCTTTTTACGCTCGGGAGTCGGTTTACTCGCTTCTGCGTTTCACAATGCCACTTGGAGGAGTTTGCGAAATCCTGGTGCAAGAGCGCCGCTGGTTATGTGATAGTTAATAGTACAATATCGAGCGTTACAGGCTCGTTAAAATTTGCCGTTTTCTCATTTCTAGTTGGTTCATTCATCATTTAACGAACAAATGAAATCAAATTACATTCTATTAAATAGACCGTAAAATTATTGAATAATTATACCACGGAAGCAAGCGCATATTTCTTTTGCATGTTAAATCAATTTCTTGGCTATTTTCGCGTAAAACGTTTAATCTCAAAAGCTCTATATTAAAAATCACGTGCTAAATTATAGCGCGTTGCACTGCCTCCACCTGCACTATAATCTTAAAAACATTAGTGGCAATTTTCATGGGCGTTTGTGGATTATTAATAAAATGATTTATTATCTTCAAATGCCGAATGTTTTATTTCGCAAAGCATTATTTCGGACATTATCTTCATTTTTTCAGAGATCTCTTGTTAATATGTATATAACGAATATTAATTAATTAGACTTTTATGAAATTGTGATTCGTTTTAGTGGGACGAAAGAACACAAAAACAAAAAACAAAACCAAAAAAAAAAAAAACAAACAAACAAACAATCAATGAATATGCGTGTATTACATTGATAACGATCAAGTAAAGGTACAGTTTAAAGATTTTAATGAATTTCATTGGAAAAGTATTTCGATGATAAGTTGGGTGTTGATTTTGCACTCAGTAGCACTCACTTATTAGTTTGTAAAATTATTGTATTTCGTAGTTTATAAAATTGGGTGCGTACACAGATATAAAGACGGAGAAATGGACTATTTGGCAAATAATTGAAATCCGATTTAAAAAAAAAAAGTTTAATTTTATGCCAATATTAAGCGCAAGGGAATTTAGCTTTAATTCACAACACAATGCATAAAAACGTTCATTTTCATAAAGCAATGATAGCATACGAAATGACGTGGTATCATCGTATATCTCATTGAAAGTAAAATTGATTTATTTATTTATTCGTTTTTTTTTCTTTCTAACTGAAAGGGCGATACTTACTACCTATCCACTCTACATGCACATCCATTTTGTCGAATACCGCGACGAAAACATGCGCTTATTCTTAAAAATTTTGATGCAAGGTGGAGCATGCGATGTATAATGAGACTGAGACATACACAGACACGCGCATACGCATGCGAAAACACACATAGTGTGTGTGGGGGGGGGGCTAGTATAGTAAGATCGCGATTTCTCAACAATGGAAGATTATTAGCATTGGCTTTGCCGAGTGCACTTGGTTGATATTGGCCACTCCAAAGCCAGCATATTGTAATCACGCGGATATATTGTGCTTCCAGCGCACTCTCTATATGCTCTTTTCCCCTCTCGCCATTCCCCGTCTTTCTCGCCTGCGATCCTCTACGTACGTATATATTCGTCTCTCCTCTTCGAACCGTTCGCTCTCTTTGCACATCCCTTCCTCTTCTTCCCTCCATAGTCCATAATCGTGGCATCCGTGTAATACACTATTTTTCCACTTTTCCTTCAACTCGTTTGCCTCGTTCTGTCTTTCTTTTCATTCGCCGCTCATCCGATAACTCGATAATATTACACGCAAAAACCGCTTCCGATGTGCTCGCCCAGTCAGCGAACCACTTGTGCCAGCAAATAACCAGTTATCGGAAAAGCGATTTTATATTTCCGAGAATATATAAGACCGACGATGCGTTTGTACGGGCTTTGCATTTTTCAACTATTTTTTTTTTTTTTTTTTTTTTTGCCGAGATTCGGGAATATATGCGCATACCCTGTCTCTCCCACAACCCTCTTCGCCTATCCTTTCGCCCAATACTCCTGCACTCCCGTTCTGTTTCGCCAAAAATGATTATTTCGTAATGTCGATCATGCATGCGAGTGGATTGAGTTTTGCTATATATTGCGAAATACATACATACATACAAACAATATGTATACATATATATTTGTATACCCGGAAATAACTTTGAGAGGGAAATATTACAAACGATAAGTTTGAACAATGGGCTGGCCTTCATTTGTGGCGAGTGCAATATTTTATTGTACGAAATCGGATAATTGTGTGTATCAAGATGGAATCGTCGGCTTTTGTGAATTGTCGTATATCAAAAAATGAAAACTTACAAAATTTAATATTGTTTATTATAAAAATTTTATACTTTCGAATATCATTTCTTGTATATCGAACGGTTTTATTGAATTTAGTTGACTTCCGCCATTGAATCCCTATACAGGTGAATACATTCATTATCAAAAATCAACGAGGAAGCTACGAGATTTTTAATCGTAATTTTAGCCTATCGAATGTCTTTATTGATTTTTGTTTTTGTTTTTTGTTCACATGCACGCAAGGGTAAAATAGGATAAAATAAGGATAAAATAGTACATCGAGAGCGATTAAAAAATTGATTTAAAGAAAGCATCGCTCTTTTAATTACTCGATTTGCGCTTAATTACTTAAGCGCAACTATCTACGCGATGGCTTGGCATTTAACTTTGTAGATCACGATGGGTTATTTATTAATAATTACCTTAGCTTAGCTTAGATTGCGTCGTCTGACATTGTTAGTTCGCATATTGAAGGCGAGCGAGTGTTAAAATCCTTATAAATGGAACAAGGAAGTGAAATGTGACGGGCACGTTCATCTGGCTACTATATAGGTAGAAAATGTAAGGGAAGTACTTCCTACACCGGTGACATAAACAAGCCTGGAAAAGGCCCATTAAAGCGCACGGATGCAACATCGGCATGTGGTTGTGCGCGGAATCAGTCGACGAACAGGGCGTAAGAGCCAACGAAGCTGTTACCGGAAACATTACGCGCCCAGATTTGTTTCCACTCGCTTACATTTCTCGCACCCCATCCCGTCTAAATAAAACCTATCGCGACACATACGAGGGGCTTTCCGCGACTCCGGTCTCGGAAAACTGCTGTACTTACTTTCATTGCATTATCCTGAAAAAGGATATAAATTATATATTTCCAATGGTCGTGTTTCAAATATTATGCCTTTAACTTATTTATCGACTGTTACTTTTGTCGTTCAACATTTCTACCTAAATATGTTAATGCGAGATACTGATAAATTAAAAAAATTTTCCCCTCCAACATTTAACATATATATATATATATATATATATATCATGAATTTCAACATGACTATTTCTACTTTAAGCTACTTGGCTTATCGAGTTTAAATGGCATTTCTCTTTTTTGTTATTAAAGATTTTGAAGGAAGTCAATGAAGCAAGAAACGAACAGCTCGCGGAGTTGGAGAAACTTTTTTCCTTTTTGCAGCGGGAACGGAACTTGAATAGCTTCGATGCTCCAAGAACACCAAGGTGAGTAAACCAAATGCGATAAGATTCTATTTGAATAATTTTCAATGGTAATTCATTACAATATTTAGACTACGTTTTGGTGAGAATATATTTTTAGTTCAAAAAGTAACTCTAACTATTGACTGCTTGTGGCTTACTATGTAAATGGTGCGTTGAAGTAGTTTTTGCATTCGATATCCTCGGACGCTTTCGTAATTAAAATAAATTGTTATCGAAGTTCATTATTTATACGAGATAAAAATGAAATTTTTATAATTGATTTTGTGGTATGAAAACCAGCGACATTTATTTATTTATTTTCAATTATTTTTACCCCTCGTTTCTGTTTTTTTTTCCTTCTATTTTTGTTTATAAACTTTGTATGCAAGTATATTTGTACTGACGTATTTTTGTTTTTACATAACATGATAAGTGAATAGAACAAAATAAACGCCAATGTACAAGGTATTCATAGATATATTATTAGATATCCGGCAGCGTTTCAAAGTACGTGTGTCGTGTACAAAAATCGAAAATATTGAAGTTAAAATCGCAAGTCTTAACGATGCGTTAACACTTATTTATTAAGATTGTATTTATGAAATTTAAGAATTATTTCTATAATACTCCATTGCAAGGTAAATTAATATAACGAGAAAAAGAGACTGCTATTCTTTTTTAGGCTTAGAGATAGACATTTTAATTTGTATTAGCTACAATTGTCGTGGCAAATTGAAGAAGATTTTTCTTTTCCTTTTTTCTTTTTTTTTTTTTTTTTTTACATAGATGAAAATATTAGTTTACGAAATATAAGCAATTGAAATATCTTTTATATACATGGAATGCAGATAAAGATAAAAATTGATAAATATTTGTAAGTAGCATTGAATTCTTTACCAACGGCAGGTAATTAGGACATTAGGGATTGTTGTGCACAAATAGTAATACACAGATAGGGCACGCACCGTGACGG